AGGGGGGATGGTCACACCGCAATCCCTTCTCCTCCATTCTCCTCTCAGGATCTTGGGCACACACGCACATGCGCCCGGCGTGAGATTTAAGCCACCGGGTCCGAGACGCGAACCGCGGTCGACTACATGGGAGTCCAGCGACATAGCCATTACGCTAACTGCTGGTTCCCGGATTTACATTCTTTTAAATGCTAGTTTTGCTTCTCTAGTTCAGGAGAAACAGAACTGTTTATTAAGTAGGTTATCATAGGTGATTTGACTTGAATCAGTCTTTCAAAATTCATCCAAATTATACTTAATTCAGGATTACCCATGGGAATTATTACCTTAGTCCAATGGTATGATCAGATTTCTAGGAATTTCATAGAATCGCTGGAATGCATATTAATGGCATATTCATATCTGAAACTCAAAGGAGGGTTAGCACCACTTGCCATTTGAGAATGCTTCCTATTCTACAAACCCAATTAGCTTAACAAATCTTTCTGTATAAAAAGAGATATCCCTTTGAAATGTTCAAACAACCTGGCTAAAAAATCCCAAGGTCAAGGGAACCAGCAGTTAGCGTAATGGCTATGTCGCTGGACTCCCATGTAGTCGACCGCGGTTCGTGTCCCGGACCCGGTGGCTTAAAACTCACGCCGGGCGCGTGTGCGTGCGTGCCCAAGATCCCGAGAGGAGAATGGAGGAGAAGGGATTGCGGCGTGACCATCCCGCCTGGGGGGTGATTTCTCGCTTTCTGTCTCTATGTCTCTCTCTGTCTGTGTGGTGAGCACACGCGCCCTACAGTGAAAATCTCTCAAAAAAAAAAAAAAATCCCAAGGTCAATTCAAAGTCCAGAAAAATCTCAGCTTAGAATCTGATTTTTGAGAAATTTACAAAAAAATATAAAAATCATAAAATACTTCAATAGAATCAATTCCAAATCATTATGAGACAAAATCAAAATAGCAAAAGAGTCTTAAAGATAAATACAAGGGACCAGCAGGCAGCGTGGCGGTTAAGGTACTGGACTCTCACATGGTTAAGGGTACTGGGCTCCCACATAGCCGACAACGGTTCATTTCCCAAACCAGGCGGCTTGCTTTCTCTCTCTCTCTCTCTCTCACTCTCTCTCTCTGGTAAAATTAATATAAATACATAGATAGATAGATGGATAAAAAGTTCAATAAAATTTTAAAAAAGATAAACACAAAATGTTGCATAGTTGTATAAAAGCCCTAGCTCTTGGGCCGGCTGGTGGCATGTGGTTTAGGTGTCTAGATCTCACAGGGCTGACTGTGCAGTTCAAGTCCCAGACTGGCAATTTGAAACATGCCCAGCTCATGTGTGTGCATGCCCAAAGTCCCAAAAGAAGAGGGAGGAGAAAAAGGGATTGCTGTGTGACCATCCTCTGTGGGGGTTGGCTTCTCATTTTTCTCTCTCTCCAGCCAGCACACATGCTCTCTAAAAATAAATTTTATTTATTTATTTATTTATTTTTGGAGAGGTTTTTGCTATGGGGCACGTGCGCTCGCCAGACAGAAAGTGAGAAATCACCCCCCAGGGGGTATGGCCACACTGCAATCCCTTCTCCTCCATTCTCCTCTCGGGATCTTGGACACACACGCACACGCACCTGCCGTGAGTTTAAGCCACCGGGTCTGGAACGCGAACTGGGGTTGACCACGTGGGAGTCCAGCGACATAGCCATTACACTAACTGCTGGTCCCAGAAAATTTTTTAAAAGAAGAAAAGTCTTAGCTTTTTTACAGTTTTCCTAAGTAATCAAGGATCTAATAAAGAAAACACGAGTCATTAGAAACATTTTTGATATAATGAGGATTCTTTGTTTCCTAGACCAGTTACTGAAAAAGTAAAGAGAAGATAAAGAAATTTTTTTCGAAATTTGAAGCAAGAGCAGTCTAATCCTCTGAAAAATTTTCTGAGCATAGAGGATCCACAGTAATTTTTCATCAGTGTACTTTTGATATAAATATTTAATTTCTCAGGAAAAAACTTACAAATATTTCCCTTCTAATCTCAGGCAGCTTTGTCACACATAAAATTATTTTCAGCAGGGGCCAGTATGTGCTACGGTAGTTAAGGTGCTGGATCCTCACATTGCTGACCTCAGTTTGAGTCCTGGACCCATTAGGTTGAAAATCACGCTGAACACGTGTGTGTGTGTGTGTGTGTGTGTGTGTGTGTGTGTTTGTGTGTGCGTGTGCCTAAAATCATAAGAGGAGAAGGAAGAAGGGATTGCGGCATACCCATCCATCACTTCCCCCCCCCCAGGGGTGATTTCTCATTTTCTGTCTCTCTGTCTCTCCACCGAGCTCACGTGCCCTATAGCAAAAATCTCTCTTTTAAAAAAAAGTCTGTGGGCAAAAAGGTAGCAAGTACAACCGTTGAAAACAAAAAGTAGAAAACATTTTGGAGTCTTAAATGTTAGGCTAAAGTACTTAATCTTACCCTGCAGATAGGGAGAGGCAGTGGGAGTTGACCTACAAGGAAGAAATAGGCCAGAGCTGTGTTTTAGGGAGATTAAGCTGGCAGTTGGAATATCTTACCCTTTGTGGCAACAGTTTCACTTTCTATCAGAAATTTTCTTTGCCTTAGGCAAAGAATTAATCTTATGGTGTGGATTTGAGCAGCCTAGATAAACAATTCTTTTATCAAAAGAGCTCAATTCTGCATGCGTGTACATCCATCAGGTATCGTTTCCCAATTTTTTTTTGTTTATTTCAAGCGATTTGTCTTTACACTACTCCCCAAGCCAGCAACCATATCATTTTGATGCAATACCCTGAAATTAATTCAGAGTTGCTCCCCAAGGCCCAGTGCGTAGTTACCAGCAAATGATCATCCACAGTAAGGAGTGTCACTGCAACTTCTAGATGAGATGCTCTTACAAGGCAACATGTGTGGACAGAAATTTCATTGTTCTGACTAGAAATAATTCTTAAATGGCACACCCATCCAAAAGAAAATATCTTTTCATGTTACAAGAAATATTTTTAATACTTCAAAAGTAATTCATTACAGAGAATAAAACAATACTACAAATTAGGGCATCAACCTTCTACAGCAATGCATGTGGGGTACTAAGTCAACAAGTGATAACTTCAGATTATTCTAGATAAAAGTCGTATGTTAAAATTGTAAAGTTGTACAAGTAAATGTTAATATTAAACATGCAAGTTCTGTTGATTTTTTTAAAAATATGGATTTCCTCTAGTTTCCCAAAGCTATTACTGACCAGAAAAATAATTGTAAGGAGCATAAACCTGATAAGACCATTTTACTGAGCCATGTGGTGTGAAAAGAAATAATGGAGTCTTTGACGTTACCCAGACTGACTTCTGGCACTATCTTTATAGAGAACATATGTTCAATAATCAACATCTCAAAAAAAGAAAATTACACTGAGATTGAAATATTTTGAATATGAAATATTTTGAAAATCAAGTCCTTAGTCATGACATTTCAGCTTTCTAAAAAGTCTCAAAGTGGACCAGCCGGAAGTACGGAGGTTAAGATCACTGAATCCCACGTGACTGACTGAGCAGTTCAAATCCCAAACCTGGCAGCTTGAAAAGCACATGGGATGTGTCTGCATGCATGCCCAAAATCCCTAAGGAGAATGAAGGAAAAGGGACTGCGGAGTGGCCATCCCCCCTACGGAGTGACTTTCTCTCCTCTTCTCTCTCTTTCTCTCTGTCTCTCGCCTGTGAGTTGCTCTATAACAAACAACAACAACAAAAAAAAAACAAAGCCATTCTAGGAAGCTCATCTGTGATCCAAAATAACCATTCTTTGAAAAAATTAGTAAATAAGTTCTTGACAGTCTTACCCTGCTAAAATAATCATCACAGCTTCACTTTCTGCTCCCACGAGCCTATGTAAATTTCTGAACAGTTTGGCTGAGATTTACAAACATCACTGAGTCCTCTTGAAGAGAGAACTCTCTCTGATCCTAGCGGGTTTCTAGAGTCAAATATACACATGTATTTTTGGCTTATCAGATTCTGTTTCATATTCTGTTTCTCCACATATTTAATTCATATACACATAAATATACACAGATCATTTTAAAGTTTCATATCTAGAATAAGATAGAAAATATTTTTATCACATTCACACATGAAAATAAATTTCAGTTAACTCTGCAAAATCGGAGGGAAAATAACTGTCATTCCATTTATCCTAAAAATCCTGCATCTAATACCTGGTCCGGATCAATAGTTGCCTTCAATGCCATCCATGTCTTCACAATATAATCTACTTAATAACTGCTTTGTTGAAATCCTAACTCCCTTTGTTCTTATTTTTTTAAGCAGAGGAATGTTTTTAACTCAGATATTTCACCACTTCTCTTCCTCCAGGGAAATCTGAAGCAGGTAAGCCTTGCCTTCCCTCTAGGAAAAATTTATCTATTCCCATGAAGAGTTCAAGAAGGAACTGAGTTTGGTTGACATCTCAATTCCTTCAATCGTCTCTGGATGCTACAGAGTCCTTTGAAATGCAAATGGTCTTCCAAACTCCCTACTCCAAGGGAAAGTTTCTAAGCTGTAATTCTTGCTTCAATCAGAGAAAAGCTTTTTCAGAAAGGCATTAACAGGACGTTGAACAAGATGTCTCTTCTGGTCTCTACTAGGTGACTTTGTTTAATTTTTAGATCGTACATACATAAGAACAGCAACATATTCATATTCAAATTGTTTATCATACTAGATAACTTGTATCTATCACACCCTCTAGTACCAGGCCTTACACCAAAGTATCTTGAAATGTTTGAATGAAGTAGTTTACAATTTCAATAATAAAGCATATTCTAATTCATGCTAAACGGTCTTTTACAGTAGAAGATTAGATACACCACGCTAAGGCTATGCTACCAGAACCCAAATCCTCCCTATTACTCCAGAACATCAGGCAGCTGCTACAAGAGCAACCTGAAAGGGAAAGTTGAACCATGTCACCATTGCAGCTTTGAAGAACAGAGGTAAGGTACAGCGCTAGTCATCCAGAACCGTGGACACTGTTGTATTGTTGAGCTCACTGCTCACAGAAGCTGAAGTCAGCTGGATACTTCTATCTATAGTAGGGACTCTTCCACCAACAGTCTCATTGGTGTTCTTTTTTGGCCTCAGCAAAATAATGAAGCACTTGGGAGCAAATAGACAGCCCAGCAAACCATAGCTGGATGCCAAGATTGCAAATATTTCCACGGCCACCTTGAACTTGCCTTTGGTGCTCAAGTAAGCAGGGACAAAGGAGATCCAGACAATGAAGAAGACCAGCATCCCAAAGGTGATGCATTTTCCTTCATAGTAATTATCCGGCAACTTGCGAGCTACAAAAGTCGTAAGAAAGCAAAGCAAGGCCAGGAAAACATCAAACCCAAACACTGAGCACAGAAATTCTATAGAGCCTTCAATGCATTCCAGAAAGATCTTCGTATTTTGAGATTCCATATTCTTGTATACCCTTGGGGGTTTCAACAACAAGTAGGCTATGCATATGCCAATCTCAATTAGAACAGAGATTAGGACAATGATTTTTCGATAAAGGGGGCGCATGGATATAAATCGGGTTTTGGACTTGGAAATTCTATAGGCTAAAAACAGGGAAATAGTCTTTCCAAGAATGCAGGATAAACAAAGTGAAAAACCCAGTGCCAGAGTGATCTGACGGGCCATGCAGGACCAATTGCATGGCTTGCCAATGAAAAGCATGGATGACAGCAGTGTGATGATGAAAGAAACCTGAATGATAAAGCTCAACTCCCGGCCGTTGGCCATCACCAAGGGAGTGTTCCTGTGTATCGCATACACAACTATGACCCCTACAGCCACGAGTGCCCCAAAGATGGAAAGAATGACAAGTGTGAATCCCAGGGCCTCCTCATAAGAAAGGAATTCTACCTCTTTCAGCACACACTCACTCCTTTGTTCATTTGACCAATGATCTTCATCACATGGCTCACAGTCCCTTTGACCTATTGACCAAAGAACAGAATGGATTATAAGGAAATGAAGGAGGAAAGAAGCTGGAAAATTGAAGCCAGTGAAGGGGCTAGAGCATCTGCTTATGTGGCCAGTGAGAAAAACTGATCAGGGCAGAAAATCTCCCGCTGGAGGTAATGGAGGTGGGAGATTTTCAGCGGGGGTGTCTAGCTGATAGCCAGAGATAAATCAGTGGCCCAGCCACACTGGATAGAGCTAATGAGATGAATCAGTGGACCCAGTCACATCTGATATATAGCCAATGGGAAGAAAGCAATTAGTGGGCCCAGCCAATGATCAGCTGGTTAAGGAATTATAAACCCCATGGAAAGCAATTACCGGGACCCGTGGGCAATTCTTTCTCTCTTGTGCTCGAACTTCTAGCTCCTACCTCTTGGGAGTGTACTTTCACTTTTACTTAATAAACTCTCCTTTACTGTCACTATTGATGTGTTTCATTCAGTTCTTTGTGCAAAACACCAAGAATCTAGACAGCCATCCCACAACAGAAATCCAGTTGCCGCCTTCAACTATGACTAGCTCAGAGAAGTCGAAGAGCAGGGACTTTTGAAAATTCCTTCATATAAAAAATATATAATGTCTCAAAGAAGTGATAAAATGATTTTTCAATAAAGGGGGTGCATAGATATAAGTCAGGTTTTAGACCTGGACATTCTATAAGCTAAAAACAGTGAAACAGTCTTTCCAGGAATGCAAGATAAGCAAAGGGAAAATCCAGTGCCAGGGTGATCTGGTGGGTTGTGCAGGACCAATATCACAGCTAATACTGCAGATTGAAAAATGCAGATAATATCACAGATTGGAAATTATTTTAAATTTTAGAAATTTGGAAGGGAAGTCCCTTCTCAGTTTCAGCCTTTTCTACATCATCCTCATCCAGTAACATGCTTCTTTCTTTCTAGTCCAATTATCTAATAGAGAAGGAAGGTGTGTGACCTCATAAATCTGAGAATAATCCATGAATTTGGGGGGTGTGGTGGGGGGACATGAGAAAGTGAAAGCTATTGGGGTAAAACTGTCAGGAGGACTGTGACAAGGACAAAGTTGATTAAAATTCAAGTGTTCTCAATTTCCCATTCAATATCACCCCCATGGAAAAGAATTTTTCCCACTTTGTTTCTCCATTCTTTGCCCTCCAGAAGCAGATTTGAAGAACAGGCAGGGAAGGGCTAAGACTAAAAAGAGAAACACAAATAGTCATGTCACCTGAGGCTGAGTAAGGTTTGGGGCACTCGACTGGGTGGAGGCTCTAGGGAAGAAAATTGGAATACAAGACAAATCTATTTGAGATAAATTTATGGTAAATTATTAAGTGTATCTTGTTAATGGTTTTTGAAAGATGTAGGTGAAGATTCAAATTCTCTTTTAATCACTTAGTACTGCTAGACTAGACATGGCTGGTTGTAACTCTAAGCAGAGACTGGGCCCCATTGCATCCAGGGAGTTATTCAGGTTGCACTGTTTCTCATTTGGGGGAAACTTTGTAAAAACTGTCTTTTAAATGAATTTGTGCTATTGAACACATTTGGCAAAAGACCATATAGTTTGTGTTATTTTTAACAGGAGGTAGAGATAAAAATACACCTGTTCCAACATGCTTTACAAGACTAATGTGCACCAAGACCAACTACAATAAAATGCTAATCATGAAAAGCATGAATTTAGCAGGCTGTGGTGTAGAATCTACAGTGCAGTGGCTATAGAATTCATCTGGCCTGCAAACTGAGTTTTTATGACCTCAAACTAGCTGTCCTTAGGGAAGGAATTCTATATCCGATCACTCCAAATTAGATTGATATTCTATTTTTAGGTCTGCTAAATTCTCCCTGTGAGTGATCTTAAAATTTAATCAATTTCAAAACCTGAAATTTTTTTCAATACATTTTATGAATCTATTATTCATGGTTGTGAGCCATTAATTTAAGAAAGGAAAATACAAAACAAAATATATGAAGTATGAAGTTAAGAAATGAAACTCAATACTATGTTGTTTTCACACTACACAGAACATCCAATAGTTTGATGGATTACAATGATTTTTTTTTTTTTTTGGAGAGGTTTTTCACTATAGGGCGCGTGTGCTCGCCAGACAGACAGACAGAGACAGACAGAAAACGAGAAATCACCCCCCAGGGGGGATGGTCACACCGCAATCCCTTCTCCTCCATTCTCCTCTCAGGATCTTGGGCACGCACGCACACGCGCCCGGCGTGAGTTTTAAGCCACCGGGTCCGGGACGTGAACCGCGGTCGACTACGTGGGAGTCCAGCGACATAGCCATTATGCTAACTGCTGGTTCCTACAATGATTATTTTTTACTGGTGTGTTGTTGTTGTCGTCATCATCATTGTTGTTGTTATAGGGCAAGTGTGCTCACCAAACAGACAGACAGAAAGTGAGAAATCATCCCCCAGCCATGCCACAGTTCCATCTCCTGCATTCTCCTCTCGGGATTTTGGGCATGTACACACACGAGCCCAGAGTGAGTCTGAAGCTGCCAGGTCCAGGACTTGAACTGCTATCAACTACATGGGAGTCCAGCAACATAATGATTACGTCCTCTGCTGGTCCCAGATTACTATGATTTTTATAAGTCGTTTACACCTATTTTAGAAAAGGCTCCAAGACTCTCTCTTTCACTACATGTTTAACATAACTGCATTTTAACGTCAATAAGAAAACAGTCATCTCTACCTGGTTCCCGTGTTACGTGTCCTTCAGCACACTGGATACAGTCAAAGCAGCAGACCGGTTCCCCCTGACGAATTCCCTTCCGCGTCCCAGGCAGACACTCGTGAGTGCACACTGACAGGGGACACTAGCAAAGACAAAAACAACAAATGTAGCAAAGCCCTTTGTCTTAACCACTCCTGAGGATGTGTAAGTTCCCATTTGGATTTTCTTGAAAGTTCTGTTATATCCAGGGAAACTCAGGATACCTGGGCAAAGAGAATAACAGTATGGATAGGCCAGAGGGAAATTTTGCTAAGAGTCACTCTTGTGGTTGATTCTAGAAGTGCAAAGCGAATCCTGTAGAGCTAGCTTTTTTCTAATCCTAGGGATCCAGAACAGAATCCATGACCATGGAATTCTGGAGAGGGGACAAGGTAACAAGTCTATGTTTGTGGGGGGCCTGTGGCCCTAAGAATCATCTTAAGAACCTGAAAAATATTTCTTCTCAGCAAGGTCATCCCAATAAAGTCTTTTTTTTTTTTTTTTTTTTTTAAGAGTTTTTGCCGGTCATCCAAAAAAAGTTTTTTTTTTTTTTTTTTTTTTTAAGAGTTTTTGCCTTAGGGCACATGCACTCTCCAGACAGAAACAGTGAAAGGGAAAATGAGAAATCACCTTCCGGGAGGATGGCCACACCACAATCCCTTCTCCTTCATTCTCCTCCTGGGGTTTTGGGCACACATGCACACACACGTGCCTGACATGATTTTCAAGCCAACAGATCCAGGACTCGAGCTGCAAGCAGCCCATGGGAGTCCAGTGACATAATCATTACACCATCCACTGGCCCCCCAATATAGTCTTAAAGTCAAAATGTGTCATGAAGAGTCAGTAGAAAAGAAAAATGAAAGAAATCTTTCATCAAAAAAATTGGGAAGGGGGAACCAGCAGTTAGCGTAATGGCGATGTCGCTGGATTCCCACGTAGTCGACCGCGGTTCGTGTCCCGGACCCGGTGGCTTCAAACTCACCCCAGGCGTGTGTGCATGCGTGCCCAAGGTCCCAAGAGGAGAATGGAGGAGAAGGGATTGCAGCGTGACCATCCCCCCTGGGGGGTGATTTCTCGCTTTCTGTCTCTCTGTCTTTCTCTGTCTGTCTGGCGAGCGCACGCACCCTATAACAAAAACCTCTCCAAAAAAAAAAAAATTGGGAAGGCAAAAAGAAAAAGTGGACAAGGCATCACAATAGAATATTTTTTTGCTAAATGAATTTAGAAATCTGAGTAATAATCTGAAGCATCCCTTTATAATCTGTGTAAATGTGTACTTTGAAATGCAGAAAAATGTAGTTTTTGTAAATCAGTTTATATTTTAATCTGCTGGGACACTTCCTACTTAAAAGGGAAATAAAATTTATTTCCCATTAAGCAAAGATTCAGTTTGAAAAGTGAATAATAACATTTACATTTTTTTTCTAAATCAGAACTCTCATTGGTGAGTATTGCAAAGAAAATCTGAATTAAATAACAGAAAATATTAGAAATCTCTGAGCTAGATGACGGCATGTAACATTACAGAAGTTTGTACAGACAATAGGCGGACATCATAAGTTTTATACATATATGTGTAATAG